CTATATATCAATATGGATGTGTATTTATAGAAAATAAAAAAAATTATGAATTTTGATATATTTAAAATAAATTTTCAAGAAAAATAGCTTTCTAAAAATAAAAAAAATGTATTTTTTGTGTATACTAAGGTAATCATTAACATAGTTTAACTAAACATGTTTGGTTGAAAAACACATATGTATCCGTTACTCATTTCCACCGGTACGCCTAAGTGTTTTGCGTTAAAATAAATGTGTGACTAAGAATGATTTCCTAATTTCTTAATTTTTTTTTCTCAATTGAACCATCCTTTCTCTCTTTATATATATATATATATATATATATATATATATATATATATATATATATATATATATATATATATATATATATATATATATATATATGGGTGTGTGTTTGTGTGTGTGGGGAGGGTTAGGTTAATGTGAGAACACTATATATTGTGAGATAAGGAGACACAATCCTAACCACTCATGTTGTAAATAAAAAAACATTTTTAAAACCCAAAATAATTGAAAATTTTCGAAAAAAAATTGAAAATATTATTTTCGTCACTTTTTTATCCAAAATAAATAAATAAATAAATACTAATAATAAAATTACCGTGTTTTTTTTTTTTGAAATATCTGTGAAATATTCTAGTAGAATATTGGAATATTTTACATATCTAACAAATCTACTAGAATACTATAATTTTCTTACATTCTAAAAATGACATTGAAATATTTACAGTGTAGAATTTTATTAAAATATTTCACGTATTTAAAAAAAATACGGTAAGTTTTTTTAATGTTTTTATTTTTTAGGTAAAGAAAAAGACGAAAATAATAATTAAAAAAAGAATTTTGGAATTTTAAAATTAATTTTGGATTGTATTTCAAGGTTTCACAAAATTAACATTTTATTATAATAACTCGTTTAGTACACGGATCTAACAATTAAGCACATTATTTTAATTTATTTATTTTTTACATGTTTTTTTTTTCTAACTTTCACTTATTTCATATTTTAAATTCAAATAAACTTCTCATTTAATCATTTCTATTTAACATTATGTTTTAATTAACTTATATAAAATTACGGGTTTCACAACTATATATATATATATACACTGCGTGTGTACGTCACTACATGTTTGTGTGTTTGGGAGTGTACAGTGTATGATTTATGTCTGATTCACAAAAAGCTGGTGTAAGAAACAAAAATTGATAGTCTAAAAAGTCTGAAAGTTTGACCTTCACTTTGTGTTTTAATCGAAAACGATCAAATTACATCCATAGACCTCAACTCAGGTTCCATGTATTTCACATCTAAACTATTCCCTATATATTTTTTATATTTCTTACCTTTACAACTAATAATATTAACCTATTTTAATTATTACAAGACTACAAGCACAATGAAAGAATACATGTAAATTTTATGATTTTGTCGTTTATACTTAATATTAACAATTATCAATATGTTTTAAATAGTTCTGATTCCAAATATTTTATTTGAACACCAAAAAATATCTAAATTAAAACAAGTAGCGGAAAACCAACACGATTACAAATGAAAATCACCGAAACACGATAAAGGCATTTCCAACCTACCCTCAAATTTTTTTTATTATTTTTTTTATTTTTTATTTTTTATTTATTTATTTATTTTTTATTCTATTCCAATCCTATCTCATTTTCATACTTATTTTTAAAGATATGAATAGTATTACTCGTATTTGGAGGAATATTATTTATATCTCCTAAAATAAAGTTGATGTTTTCATTGTCGATTTTAGTTGTTCTCTTTTCTATTTTATACATTTTAAATTTATTTTTATTTATTAATTATAATTTAAATGGAATATTTAATATTTATAATATTATGTTATATATTAATTTATATTAATTAATCATAAATATAGACTTTGATATTTATTTATCGAATTCATACAAAAAATTAAATATATACTAGAGACTTGAAACACGATAAAATAATTTATAAAATACAGTAACCAAATATGATAAATTAATAATTTGTTTAAATTTATTATATATAAATATTTTATTTATTATAATATAATTTATAATATTATTGTATTTAAAAAATATAATATATTTGTTAAAATCTAATTAGTAAAGGCATGTATTTGATTCTCTCTCTCTCTCTCTCTATATATATATATATATATATATATATATATATATATATATATATATATATATATATATATATATTATATAAAATTAGAATATTCTATATAATTTTTAAGGTAAAAAATATGACAGAAAATGAAATATGATTGGAGAGAAACACTCTTTATCAAAAATTTCATTTTAGTTATTCATTTATAGAGGAAAAAATTAAAAATAAATTGGAGATGATCTAAAAGATTCATGTATAAACAGCCTAACGTCGTATTGCAACTATCTTTAAGCATGAATTTCAGATTATCCCTAAGTGTAACATTTTTTGTTTATTTTTTATTTATTTGATTAAAAATATGTTACAGTTTTTATTCTTCCTTTCTTTTGGCAAGACAATATTAAACTCACAAATAATTTACAATTAGAAATGATTTGATAATAATGTTGTGATATAATGAACAACAATTAAGATACAAAAATGATTATTAACGGACGAATTTCAACATATGTTGAAATATAATGAGAGAAAAAAAGTTTGCCTATGAGAAAACTTTGGGCTAAAGCACTTTCGTATAATACACTTTTACAATTATTTTTGTGCAAAATTGTTCCTTGCTGTAAACCGCGTTGTCTTTTATTTTTGGAATAAATGATAGTTTGTAACATAGAATAACATACAAAAATGGGATTTTGCATTTTTTAGGGTTTTAAAAAGTAGACATGAAAAATCTAATTTCAAGGTATAGACATAGATTCCACGAAGGTGAGCTCCAAAGACTCCGCGGAATGGTAGTTCTGGGGAATTGTTCTTCAGAATTTTTTTTTTTTTTTGCAACATCGATTCCTCAGAAATTAAGTTGATTCTACGGAGCCATCCGAGCTCACATCCGCAGAATCGGTATCTATACCTGTAAATTCGATTTTTTATGTCTACTTTTTTGAATTCAATCCAAAAAAAATCTAGTCAAAATCTCTACAAAAATGCCACGCCGAATTATTTTTTAACTATTGCAATACAAGTATTATTTAATCTATGTTATAAGAATTCTTTGTAATGATTTTCTTTCCATAATTAACAAGAAGCTGAGGACATAACATGTTTCCGTGTTTCACTTGTCCTACCGTAAGAAACCAAATAGTTCTATCTTTTTATTAATCACATACTTCATTTTAATACTATAAAGTTGTAGTGTTTATATATATATATATATATATATATATATATATATATATATATATATATATATATATATATATATATATATATATATATATATATATGAGGTAATTACTAATCTAGCCAAATTAAGGAAGTGATCATCAATTTTTGGCGAAAAATTAATAAATATCTAAATATAGCCCACGAAACCGAAGGTTTCTAAAATCGTCTACTATTTTGCCATATCGTCTACTGTTTCGTATTTTGTATAATTTTTTTTTTCATTTGTAACATACAAAACCGTAGGTTTTGGGAAACCTACGGTTTCCTCTCGGTTAAGCTACGGTATCCCAAACCGTAGCCTACGGTTTTGGAGGAAAAATACGGTTTTTTTTTAATCTACTGCTTTTGGGGTTTCGGCTACTATTTTGTGAAAAAACCTACGGTTGTAATTTTTTAATTTTTTATAAGATGTAGAATTATTTTAACAATTATTTTGTTAAAATTTGTTGAGAATTCAAAACATTAGACTTTAAAAAAAAAACGTATTCTTTTTGTGATATAGAGTATTAAAAAGATTGTTTATAGAATGTAGAATTATTTTAACAATTATATTGTTTATAAAATGTAGAGTTGTTTTTTGACAATTATTTTGTTAAAAAATATTTTTTGTAAAATATAAAAAATAGTTTTGCTAAACTTGACTACCTTTTTGTTAGAGTGGACTACTGTTTTGTAAAACCTGACTACTTTTTTGTTAGAGTAGACTACTGCTTTGTTAAACTTGACTAACTTTTTGTCATAGTAGACTACTATTTTGAACCTACCCTATATATTAAGTATTTCATATTTTTGAAACTATCTCGTATTTTGAAAACTACACTTCTCTCTAGCTTCTTTATTCTCAAAATTAACATAATGAGTTGTAACGAGTATTTCGTATTGCTCATTACGGGATAGAAGATGAGAGTTTGTTAATTCTCAATTATCATATGTTTGGCCACTCGAATACAATCCAAGAATGTTTTATTTTGGTTTTGAATTTTACGAAACCACCACGTACACCGAATTTATTCATTTGGTGAAATGCAAGATGGGTCTTCCCAAAGAATCAAAAGTCAGTCTCGCTTATAAACATCAAGAATAACTCTATTATTGTGGTATTGTTGATGATCGTGATATTAGAAAGCTGATCAAGGTAATAAATACCATTGGAGATAAATCTGTGTCTATCTATGTGGTGATTGAAGAAGATGTATCGCGTAACGAAGTGGATGATAGAGGAAAGACATCTGCAGATAATTTATCAAGTGGAAAAGGGAGCAACAACCCAATAGGTAATTTTAAAAGTTCATGTAAAAGTCAATATCATAGTGTCGCTGAAAATGTAAATGTAGTGTCTGTAGTGCCAGAACCGATTATGTATGTTACACCCAAGAATTATAAGTATATCAGTGATAATGATGTTGGTACATATGTTAATGATGTTGGTGTAAATCATTACTTTGACAAAAAAAAGCACTAAACGTGGTGGATAAGGTTAGTAATGAATCTGGAAAACAAGAAGTTCCATTTTTGCATGATGGTGAACTAAAAGGATATGGCAAGTTTGCGGATTGTGACAAGTTGGAAATATCCGGCCTAGAGAGTGATTCTAACGAAGAAGAATTTGATGATGAACCTAAACTTATTTATTCAGATACCATGTTTCATGGTATGCCCGCATTGCCTTCGTGTCAGTAACGATGATGTGAACATTCCATGTCAGAGGCTGGATATAAATCAAGAGATTAAGGTTCTAGACATTTTTGATGACAAAGAGTTGCTCAAGCTTGCAATTAGAAGACAATGCATGGAACAAGGTAAGTAGTAGAAGACTACCAGATCGAGCAAAGAGAGGTTCGAGGTGGTTTGTTTGGTAGAAAATTGTTCTTGGATGGTTAAGGCAAGGGGAATCAAATCGACTACTCTTTCCAAGTCACAAAAGTTGTTGACCAACACACTTGTTGTGCAACAAACTTGGAGTCTAATCATCGAAAATCAAAGAAAAAGGTACTCGACCACTTTATTGCTGGAGTATTGGCTGGAGATTATAATAGAGTTTATCGGGGTAATGAAATCGTGAGGGACATCAATTCAAAATTTCCAATCAATATCTTTTTCCACCAGGCATGGCGGGTGATATTTGCATAATTAGCCATATGTTTAGCATATATTTTTATTCATTTTTAGCGAATTATGTGCATAATGTGCACAAAAGGTACTTAATAATGCTCAAATTGTGTTTTCAGTCCAAAAAACATGCTTGGAAGCAAAAAGGAATAAAGAGAAGCGATTAGAGACCAAAGAATGAAGAAAAAGGAAAAACCACACACCTACTCGGCGAGAGCACGCACCAACTCGGCTAGTCCATAAGAATGTTCCAGAAGAAAAGTCAAAAAACCTTGCCGTACACGGATTTCACACTAGAACTCGGCGAGTCCACGACCTACTCACCGAGTAGCCCCTGTTTTGTGATAACTATAAATATGGGGTCTTAATCCGAATTAAAGACTTTTCTGGCTTCCTTGGAGATAGAGCTACGATCGGAGAAACCCTTGAAGACCTGAAGAACCCTAACCTTTGATCTTTTGAAGTTTGTTGGCGAATTAGGTTATATTTTCCACTTAAACTTAGGATTGAATTATGTTTAGCTTAATCAAATTCGTGTTTGAGCTTGTTTTCCTTGTAATCATGAGCTAAAATTCGAATGGTTTCTGTTTAGGAAGAACCAAATTACTCATATGGTTTAATTATTACTTTTGTTAATTGTTTATTAGTGATTTCATTAAATTAAGTTTGTTAAAAAACCTTATGCATTAACCACAACTATTTTCTGTTAATTGGAAGACAATTAAGCTACATGAACATCTCTTAGTTGTTAACCTCATATGTTATGTAACCACTTTATCATATGTCTAGGAATAATGAACATGAAACTAGAATTAATAAGAGAATGGGTAAATTAATGTGTGAGCTTGTTTGAGAAACCAACAAACAAGAGGTTAATTGAATCACCCACTTGATTAACCAATTACAAATCTTATTTAATCCAAATAATTGAACTAGGGAATTAATTAGTTTAAACAATTGGTCACTGCTTGAATTGATTAATTGTCTAAGGGTTAGTATTAGTGAATATGAACCTAACCACTATAGTTGGTAACCAATAACAATTAATATATCACATTATTATAAAAATAATCGTAGGAGTGAATTGGTTGGACCTAAACAGAAACTCTTTATCAAAATTTAGTGAATTTTTACTTGTTTTAGCTTTGAGTTAAATCACGTGTTGCAAACGCTGGAGGACATGCTTCAAGCATGCGTGTTGGATTTTGGAGGTAGTTAGGACACGTATCTCCCACTAACAGAGTTTTCGTACAATAACAGTTACCATGCTAGTATTGACCGAGCTCCATTCAAGATGTTATATGGTCAGAGGTGACGAACCCTGGTTTGTTGCGACGAGGTTGGGCACTGGGTTATGGGGAGCACTGAGGTAGTGCTCAAGACTACCGAATTGATTCAGGAGGTATGTGATCGGCTGCGGGTCGCATAGAGCAGTCAAAAAGTTATGCTGTGTGATGGCGATCAGATCTCGAGTTTCAGGTGAGGGATTTTGTGTTGCTGAAGGTGTCACCCTGGAAGGGGATTAGCATGTTTTGGAAGAGAGGCAATATGGGGCCTTAGTTCATAGGCCCATTCAGGATCACGACTCGGGTGGGCAAGGTGGCATATCGTTTGGATCTACTAGAGGAGCTTAGCCAAATTCACAACACCTTCCATGTGTCTTTGCTTCAGAAGTGTGTTACTGACGAGTCCTCAGTCATTACATTTGACAATACGCAGGTGGATGAGGGCCTAAACTATATCAAGAGGCCGGTTTCCATCTTAGATAGGAAGGCAAAGGGTATTCAGAACAAGGAGGTGAAATTGGTAAAGGTGCAATGACATCACCGAAGAGGCTCCGAATGGACTTGGGAGCCGGAGGAGGAGATGCAAGAGCATTACCCCGATCTATTCATAGCTACGGACTTCTAGGAAGAATTCTAGTTCAAGTGGGGGAGAGTTGTAACACCCCAATCTAGGTATGACTTGAAACCCTTGAAGAAACTTCATTTTAGCATATTGGTCCGTTAAGTACGCTGGGTGTACTTATGAGTTCTCTTAGCGTACTATGCATGAGTGATCATGGAGGGACAACACATATGTTGGGCGTACAAGAATTATGCTGGGAAAACGTACCGAATGACCAAACCCTAATTTTTGGACATGAGACCTATATAAACACCCTTAACTCATTTGAGCCTCACCCTCATCCGCCCCTTTAACCTTCAAACGTCTCTGGAAACCCTAATATCATTTTGATTGCATTTTGAGCTTTAAGAGTGCATTTGTGGCCCTTATAGCATTCATTCAAGAAGAAGAGGTTGGAAAACAAGCTTAGAGTGGTCCTGAACTTCAAGAATCTGAATATATTCGACCTTGAGGAGCTTCTGGAGCTATAAAGCTTAAATCTTTCCACTTAAATCTCTAGATCTAGGTAGGTTTTTCTAATTTTGTCCCTTTGGTTGATTTTGGACCTCCACTTGTGAGTTAAGCAACTCCAGAGGATGGAAATGACAGATCTGAGGTCCCTTAGTCCTTTTTCAACATACAAATGGACTCTTTGTGGGTGTTTTGACCTCATGCATGGGTTAAGAGCTTTAAAAAGGTGTTAATGAGGGTGTTGGCAGCATATGGGGCATGAAAAGGCATAAAGTTGCCAACTTTATGCCTTAGGTCATCTTAATAAGCTTAGATCAGACTTTTGGACGTAAAGGAATTGAGTATTAAGCACTCAATGGAGAAAGTGCTTAATCTGTTAGTACGATGGGGCGTAACGCAGTGTACGTCGCGCGTAAGTCCCAAAACCCCAGTACGCTGCGCGTACCAAGATCGTAAGCTAAGCGTACACATCACAGATGGGCTTGGATCTGTTTTGGGCCTTTGAACTATTGGGCCCCATTAGTTATTGGAGTTGTAGCATTCTGAGAATAGTGGGCTATTTTATATGTTTTGGGCCATTGGTGTTATGGTAAGAAAGGATATTTGGGCCTTTTTTGAAGGACTTGGGGTTTGTGCCTTTCCTTTGATTAAGTGAAGTCCTAACATTGATTAACAATGAAATGATATTTGGGCCTTTTTGGAAGGACTTGGGGTTTGGGGTTTCCTTTGATTAAGTGAAGTCCTAACATTGATTAATATTATTATTCAACTCGGGAGGTTACAGACTGTCAGGAGAGCACCTTTCACATTCAGCAGACAGAGGTGAGTCCCCTCACCATAACAATGGGTCTAAGGCACCAAGGCCAACCCATTTCATTATATGTAGTACCCTAGCTGTAATGGTATTATTTGGCATGATAGTTGGTATGAGTTAGGAAGTATGCTAGTCTGAGATGTGGTATGTTTGTATGGAAGACCATGGGAGAGCCCATGACACTTGGATGTAAGACCATGTGGAGAGCCCATGGATTTCCTATCGAAGATCATAGGAGAACCCATGGCACTCGGATATAAGACCATGTGGAGAGCCCATGGTTTTCCTATTAGAGACCATGGGAGATCCCATGGCACTTAGGTGTAAGACCATGTGGGGAGCCCATGGCATCCTGGAGTAAGACCCTGCGGAGAGCCCACGACAACCCTATCTGTTGAATGTATGGATTATGTGATATGTATAGCTATTTTAGCTAGTATGATATCTTGTATGTGGGTATGCTATGGGGAACTCACTAAGATTTCAGCTTACCGTTTGTGGATTTGTTTCAGGTACATCTGAGCCCAAGGGCAAGGGCAAGGCATGATGGTACGGCTTGCACACACACACACACACAATCTCTCTCTCTCTCTCTCTCTCTCACTAATATGTTATCGGACACTCTGATGTTTTTAAATAAAGCTGTAATGAATGTGGATTTGAAAACATTTTTTTTGGGATTTCATGGTTTATGCAAATGTGTTTGACTAATTAAAAATGAAAATTTTCCTTTATAATTTTGGGTCGTTACACAGTAGCCGCCCCACTGACCATTATATATAGTTATTTTGAATATCTTAAAATGCAAAGAAACCAAAATCCAATGAGCTTGTGGTATGGTGATTGAGATGTAAAGGTAGAAAAGGTTAGAAATTGTTAATTAGTATATAAATACTCACATAATGTGATCCAAACAAAATTATACCGTATCACACTCTACCCAAGCTGGGTAAATAGATCCGTCAGCCATGTCACTCTAGTCATATGCATCAGTGGTGAAAGCTAACGACACCATTGTCCACCAAGCATCATCCGCTCTACGCACCAGCAACAATGAGACCCACATTATGATGTGCTGCCTTTTTTTTTTGCAGTAAAGCAAATATTATTATTAGAAGTGTAGTATATAATAATCAAATAATTATATTACTTACATCACATGACAACCATCCTCCATGACTATCCGCATATAACTGTGTCCAAAACTCAAGTGTAGCAAAACCAGTCAAATAATTGTGAGCACATGTGACATCCCCAAATTTTTCGGTAAGAAAAGACCGAATTAATTTATGCTTTTGAAATAAAATCAGAGTAATCTTTTAAAGATGTTGCAGAATTTGTCTCCAAAACAAAGCATGATAAAATTTTTATCAAAACATTTCTTAATGAAATATGTATTTTTCATTATATATCAAAACCTCGAGATTTCATGTTCCGATACAGACCAAAAGCATAAACAATACATCATAATCCTTATAACACTTATTTACAACTACTGGCCTATAATTCAAAAATCCCTCTTCATCATCCAAACTATGCTCTGGGTCCACTACCTGTAATATAAAAAGCTGAGTGGGTAAGGCTTGAGAGCCCGGTGAGCGTATAGGGTTTTCAACCTACAAATAATAATAAATTTATTAATTTCATCGACCAACAATAAATTTATTAATTTCATCGATCAACAATAAATTTATTAATTTCATCAACCAACAATATGTTGGATTAGTGTCTAAGTCCATAACTATTTTGGTATGTACTTGACCCGATGGTGCATGGTCCTTTTGGGTTGCCTTCACCAAAGCAACTTGATTGGAGAAATGAATAAAGAGAGAGAGGATAATATGATTTA